TGGGGCTGCATGGTGGGGGACAAAGGGGAGTAGAAATGGAGGACATCTGTCATACTGTCAACAATAAAAATAAATTTACAAAAAAGCAAAAATAAATGAGTGGGACTATATCAAACTAAATAGCTTCTGTGCAGCAAAAGAAACCGCCAATCAAACAAAAAGCAACCAACTGAATGGGAGAAGATATTTGCAAACAACAGATTCAACAAGGGGTTAATATTCGAAATATATGAAGAACTCTACATCTCAATACCAAGCAAACAATCCAATTAAAAAATTGGCAGAGAACCTGAACAGACACTTCTCCCAAGAAGACATACAAATAGCCAACAGATATATGAAAAGATGCTCAACTTCACTAGCTATTAGGGAAATGCAAATCAAAACTACGAGATTCCTTTCATCACCATTTATCCTCTCTATACCCTCTTCTACCACCCCCCTACTCATCTATTAATCACCATTCTGTTGTCTGTGTCTATGAGGTTTTTTTGCTTGTTTGTTTGGTGTGGGTTTTTTTGCTTAATACCTTCTCCTTTTTCACCCAGTCCTGTAACCCACCTCCCCTCTGACAGTTACCAGTCTGTTCTCTATCTATGGGTCTGTTTCTATTTTGTTTATTAGTTTATTTTGTTCATTAGATTCCACACATGAGAACACACAACACAATATACAGATGGTATATTATAGAATTGTACAATTGAAACCTATATAATTTTATTAATCAATGTCACCCCAATAGACTCAATAAAAAAAGAAAAAAAGAAGAAAACCTACAATGAGATACTGTTGCAGGAGGAGTTAATGGGCCAGATTTCCCAGACATGAGTGGGAATGAGGTTCTTGGGGTACCACTGAAATAAGAATTTTCAGAAGCCCCCACAGGAGGATGAGATGTAAAAAAGGCTTTTCTTTGCATGAAGTTCCATTTATCAGGTTCCAAAGTTCACTGTCCCTTTAGCCAGTCCTGGAAAAGGTGCAGCTGGGGTTCTAGCAGAACCAGAAGCAAGGCCAGTGTCCAGAGCTTCCATTCTGTTGCAGCTGGGTGTGGTTCAACATCCAAGCTAATTAAAGCCAATTAGTCTATTTTGCGGAGTCCCACATGGCTGTGTGTGACCTGGGCACAGGGGAGCACATCCCTGCCACAGAAGAGCCAGGAACCCATGCACCAGAGAGAGAAGGGAAGGAACTTTCTTTGTTTGGAAGTTTAAATATTCAGGTTTCCAGAGCTTGCAGTGGCCACTCCCATGCTGGCCACAGCCTGCTTCCAGGTGTGATTGATGGGTAAGCACCTTCCCACATCACTCAGACCTTACTGGCCAAGCGTCTATAATACCTTTGTCCAGTTCCTTCCCCCATCCATCAGCAGGGAACAGACTTGGAGGATGTTAAATGCAGCTTTTTGACAAAGCTGTATAAATGGCATGCCTTTATCTTGTCTTCCATTTCCTCCTTTCCTATTAAATAATAACCAGGTTATTGCAACTGCATCAATGCCACCTCACAGCTGTTAGAATGTCTGTTATCAACACAAGTGATAATGAGTGTTGGAGAGGTTGTGGAGAAAAAGCCGCATTCACTGCTGGTGGGAATATAAACTAGTACAGGCCACTATGTAAAATGGGGTGGAGTTTCCTTAGCCATTCTTACATTGAGAAAACAAGCAAATCACTGAAAAAACTGATTAAAAGCTTTGAAGATATTCTTTTTAAAGCTCATGGTACATCTGTCCTACATATTTTGGATGATTGTAGCACCATTCTCAAAGGTGACTTCAAATGATAGAAATTCAGAATGTGGCTTATAATTTTCTTATGTTTTCCATTTATTGCCCTTGGAAATCTTATGAATCTTTAATATCAATAAAGTATTGTATTGAGCCTTGTTTCTTTGAACATTCAAAAGTGATTTAATTTTTTCAAGAGAACCAATCGGTATTCCCAATAAGAAACCATGGCATGTCACTCCTTATGCATAAAATCCTCACCCACAAACTACTGTAAGCCTTGGGACATGTGTGTGGAATTCATTAGGTAAGCCAAGATAAAAAAGAAGTCCAACTGTAAGTCATTACTTTAAAAAGGCAGGTTTAATTATTAATTTTTATTATATTTAAATAATGAAGGTTAGAGCTTTTGTTATTTTGAGATCACAGTCTTACCTCAAAATAGATGGGTTTATTATTTTGTTTTATTTTTATAGTGATAGAAGAAGGGTAGAGTGGTGACTGTAACATCAAAAATTTTTAGGAGTCTTTAATTTTGGTTTTATTGTTACTATTATGTAAACAATATGAGTGGGTTGTATTGACTTTTATGTTTTCACAGTAAATTAGAGCAGTGCTGTTTGATGAGTACATATGCATGCTCATTATCAAAGTAGTGTATTTACTCAACCATTATAGCAGCTCACTTAAAAGTATTATAAACCCTTATTGAGACATATCTTCAAAATCAGAAATTAGGTCCTGTTCTGAGCATAATTACATGCTCCAACAATATATATGAAAATTTGGTCACTTACCCTCAGTTTTTATATACAATTACTATTTTAAAACCTGAGTTCTTACCTGTGCACATAAAATAACTAGATAAAATATGCAGCTAATGAAAAGGTTACTGGTTCCCAGGTGCCAATAAGTGGTTAAAGTATCCAATTAGAAACGGAAAAGATGCATTGTCTGTATGAAAGAATATGAAAGGAAGGCTACTGTAATTAATTCATTTGTTTTGAGTCTTGATTATAAGTGGTTTGTTAGTACTCCCTGTAAGAGATGATACAATTTATTAAGTTAATCTTTAATAATTAATTTCATTCATCACCCATATCCAATAATTTAGACTAACTGATCAGTTGTAGTACATATTTGTAAGAATTAATTCACGCTAATATCATATAATATTTCAGGGGTCAACTATTCCATTTGGCATCTATATCTCCAATGTGGCCCATGTGATCAAAACAATAAGTAATATTTTGATTAGAAAATTTTATGTTTTGATACAAACCATTTGTTTTAAGGGAAAAAATGCAATGTGGTGGGGGGAGACATCAAGGATCTTCATTAGGAAAGAGAGTTAAAATAGTTTATATCCCTATAGGGAAACTTGCACCTTAAGCACACAATCTCTGTACTAGCTGAATGGAATACTAAAAAGTCAGCAGGTATACAGTGAGGAGGAATAAATGAATATTAAATCTTTTAGAAATAGTTTCATGATGCCTAATGTCAGCTAGATACCTTACCAAATTTTTCTCTTTATTTAAATATTTTGGAATCTCTTAGACAATTTAGTTTTAGCCATATACATGTCCTTCATGTTTTCTCTTTGATTCATATCTATAGTAGCATTTACTGATAGTACTTATAAAACTGCCTTCTTTTTTTTTTC